GGCTTTAGGTTTAGCCAGGAATCTGAGCTTTCTCATTTAGTATAATATAGGTAGGAATCAAACGTGTCTTTTCCTACATGATGTAATGGAATCAAAATTCTCGGGTCCATTTTCCAGCTCTACTGTTTGCTGGTAGTTTAGAATGACTAGCGTCTTCTGTGCCTCAGTTTTATTATCACTAAAACACGAATAACACTTTTATCTACCTCATAGGATTGTGGGACTGATAAAATGAATTATTACATGAAAAACACTTAGAATAGTGTCTGGCATATTGTAAACTCTTCTTAATATATGCTAACCACAACAAAAATCCCCTAAACTCCCCAAAGAAAACAACAACAGCAACAAAACAAATGCAAACTCTCCTCTAGTGAATTGATACATCATATTTACTATAATATATATACGCAAATGGGTCTGTTTTTGGATTCTACTCAGTTTTATTGATCTCATTGTGCCACTTTTCTTTATTTACTATAACTTTAAGATGTATTTGCCGTCTGGAAGGGCATATGCCTCTCATTGTTTGATATGGTTTGGCTGTGACCCCACCCAAAATCTAATCTTGAATTTTAATCCCCATAATCCACATAAGGCCCATGTGCATCCCATAATCCCCTGGGCAAGACCAGGTGGAGGTAATTGGATCATGGAGGCTGTTTCCCCCATGCTGTTCTTGTGATAATGAGTGAGTCTCATGAGATTGGATGGTTTTATAAGCATCTGTCATTTCCCCTCCTTGCACTCACTCTCTCCTGCCACCCTGTGGAGAAGGTGCCTGCTTCTCCTTTGCCTTCTACCATGATTGTAAGTTTCCTGAGGCCACCCCAGCAATGAAAAAATGTGAGCCAACAAATCTCTTTCCTTTATAAATTATCCAGTCTTGGGTATTTCTTCATAGCAGTGTGAGAACAGACTAACATATTGTTCTTTTTTTTTTTTTTAATTATCCTCCAGCATGTTTTCTTCTACAGATGAATTTTAGAATTTTGTTTTTAAGTTCTATAAGAAACATCTTGTTGACTTCAATAAAAAGTGTTAGGTTCCACTGGAATTTATTTAGGATTTTAATTACATGTATGAGTTACTTTAGGGTGAATTAATATATTTACAATATTGAATTTTCCTGGAAGATGGGTTCACATGTCATACATTACTCCAAAAATTTTTCTTGTTTTATGTTCTTCAGCAAAATGTTAGCATTTTCTTCACATCTTGCTTCTGATTGTAAAGTGGCTGAAGAACGCCTGATGCTGTTACTGTTAGTCAGACACAGGGACAATGGGAGAGTCTTGTCATATCTTAGCAATTTTGACTTGGTCAAGCTCCCATCTCTGAATTAATTCGTGTAACTAGAAGAAGGTATGTATCCACAACTGCTTTGAATTTAATTAATGGACCCCACCTGTAACTCCTGGGCAATAGGGAAATTACCTAAGAAGGTAGAATAAATGGAAATGTCAATTATTGCAATTTTGGGGTATACTTTTCTCTTATATTGACATTTGGCCTGATTTTATTTTTATTAATTTATTTTTTACTAACTATTTTCCTTGGGAAGGATTTCTACATTGCATGCTTTCTGAGTCCTTGTATGTCTGAGAGTGTCTCTTGTTTCCTTATTCACAAAATAATAAAATGTTTAAAATAGTCCATTGTCTTCATTTATTTTTGTGTAGTAAATGAGAAATTTGATGCCTACCTGATTTTCTTTCATATCTCTTTCTTTGGATCTCTCTTGCCCTTTCATCTTCACCATGGGATGATACAGCATGCAGGCCCTACCAGATATGCACCCCTTGATTTTGGACTTCCCAGACTCCAGAACTGTGAGAAATACATCTCTTTTCTTTATAAATTACCTAGTCTCAGGTATTCAGCAAAAAATGGACTAAGACAGTCTGCTGTCTGCTTCCTTGAAACCACCAAGCCTCCTTAAGTAATTTGTGTTTTATTTTTCTGTTTAAGTCTATGTAAGTTGAGGTTATTATACTCAGCATCTTGGGCAGTGCTATACTGGCAAGCAGTGGGGATAGCAAAAGCAGTTAATTTTCTAAATAGCTGGAATTTTTTCAGTAGTCTTTTTCTAGGACTGAGGAACAAGAGGGCTGGGATAGTTTTTCTATGAACTGAGTACATCCTGTTACCAATCTTTTGAAACCCTTAATTGGCCTCAAGATTGAAGAGATCTGCCCCATACTTTTCCAGAGGACGCTATCCTTCCTCTGAGTCTGGTTCACATTGTGTTGTGGAGACTCCTGTAAGTCTATGTCATTGTAATTGAGAGCATCTCCTTAGATGTTTGCAGGGTTTTCTTCAGGCTTAAAAAGTATCCTGCACTTCCTCCACCTCCTCCCCAATTGCCCTACAGACCTCCTACTGCTTGAGTCACCTCAGCTGTACCTTGGCTAAGGAAAGAAGCAAGTATTTAGGCCACTGTCTTCTGAGAATTACCTCTGATTTATCTTTAATTTTTTATTTATTTCTGTATTAGTCTGCTTTCACGCTGCCGATAAAGACATACCCAAGACTGAACAATTTACAAAAGAAAGGTTTAATTGGACTTATGGCTCCATGTGGCTGGGGAAGCCTCACAATCATGGTGGAAGACAAGGAGGAGCAAGTAACACCTTACATGATTGGCAGTAGGCAAAAAGAGAGAGAGAGCTTGTGCAGGGGAATGCCTCTTTTTAAAATCATCAGATCTTGTGAGACTTATTCACTATCACAAGAACAGCACGGGAAAGACCTGCCCCATGATTCAATTACTCCTCCACCAGGTCCCTCCTACAATACATGGGAATTCAAGATGAGATTTGGGTGAGGACACAGCCAAACCATGTCATTTCACCCCATCCCCTCCCAAATCTCATGTCCTCACATTTTGAAACCAATCATGCCTTCCCAACAGTCCCCCAAAGTCTTAACTCATTTCAGCATTAACTCAAAAGTCCACAGTCCAAAGTCTCATCTGAGACAAAGCAAGTCCCTTCTGCCTATGAGCCTGTAAATCAAAAGCGAGTTAGTTACTTATTAGATACAATGGGGGTACAGGCATTGGGTAAATATAGCCATTCCAAATGGGAAAAATTGGCCAAAACAAAGGGCTATTGGCCCCAAGCAAGTCTGAAATTCAGTGGGGCAGTCGAATCTTAAAGTTCCAGAATGATCTCCTTTGACTCCATGTCTCCCATCCAGGTCAGGTTGATGCAGAAGATAGGTTTCTATGGTCTTGGGAAGTTCCACCCCTCTGGCTTTGCAGAATACAGCCTTCCTCCTGGCTGCCTTCACTGGCTGGCATTGCCTGTCTATGGTTTTTCCAGGCACATGATGCAAGCTGTCAGAGGATCTACCATTCTGAGGTCTGGAGGATGGTGGCCCTCTTCTCATAGCTCCATTGAGTGGTGCCCCAGTAGGAACTCTGTGTAGGGGTTCTGACCCCACATTTCCCTACTGTACTGCCCTAACAGAGGTTCTCAATGAGGGCCCCACCCCTGCAGCAAACTTCTGCCTGGGCATCCAGGCATTTCCATACATATTCCAAAACCTAGGCAGAAGTTCCCAAACCCCGATTCTTGACTTCTGTGCACTCACAGGCTCAACACCATGTGAAAGCTGCCAAGGCTTTGGGCTTGCACCCTCTGAAGCCATGGCCTGAGCTCTACATTGGCCCTTTCAGCCATGGCTGGAGCAGCTGGGACACAGGGCACCAAGTCCCTAGGCTGAATACAGCATGGGGACCCTGGGTCCAGCCCATGAAACCACTTTTTCCTCCTAGACCTCCAGGCCTGTGATAAGAGGGACTGCTGTAAAGACCTCTGACATGCCCTGGAGACATTTTCCTCATTGTCTTGGTGATTAACATTCGGCTCCTCATTATTTATGCAAGTTTCTGCAGCTGGCTTGAATTTCTCCTCAGAAAATGGGATTTTCTTTTCTATCACATTGTCAGGTTGCAGATTTTCCAAACTTTTATACTCCGCTTCCCTTATAAAACTGAATGCCTTTAGCAGCACCCAAGTCAAGTCTTCAGTGCTTTGCTGCTTAGAAATTTCTTCTGCGGATACCATAAATCATCCCTCTCAAGTTCAAAGTTCCACAGATCTCTACAGTAGGGGCAAAATGCTGCCAATATCTTTGCTAAAACATAACAACAGTCATCTTTGATCCAGTTCCCAACAAGTTCCTCATCTCCATCTAAGACCACCTTAGCCTGGATTTCATTGTCCATATCATTTTCAGATTTTGCTCAAAGCCATTAAACAAGTCTCTAGGGAGTTCCAAACTTTCCCACATTTTCCTGTCTTCTGAGCCCTCCAAATTTCCCATCTCTGCCTGTTACCTAGTTCCACAGTTGCTTTCACATCTTTGGATATCTTTTCAGCAATGTGCCACTCTATTGGTACCAATTTAGTACATTAGTCTGTTTTCACACTACTGATAAAGACATACCCCAGACTGAGCAATTTGCAAAAGAAAGAGGTTTAACTGGACTCACAGTTCCATGTATCTAGCGAAGCCTCACAATCATGGCAGAAGGCAAGGAGGAGATAGTCATATCTTACATGGATGGTGGCAGGAGAAAAGAGTGAGAGCTTGTACAGGGACATGTCTTTTTTTAAAATCATCAGTTCTTGTGAGACTCATTCACTATCATAAGAACCGCATGGGAAAGAACCACACCCATGATTCAGTTACCCCCCACCAGGTCCCTTCTACAACACATGGGAATTCAAGATGAAATCTGGGTGGGGACACAGGCAAACCATACCAATTTCTATTTCTATTTTGTTTATTTATTTTTGAGACAGGGCCTTGCTCTGTTGTCTAGGCTGGAGTGCAGTGGTGTGGTCATGGCTCACTGAAACCTTGCAATTCTTTCACCTCAGTCTTTTGAGCAGGGACTACAGGTGCATATCAGCATGCCTGGCTAATTTTTTAAAGAAATTTTTTATAGACATGGAGTCTCAGTATGTTGCCCAGGCTGGTCTCAAACTCCTGGGCTCAATCAATCCTCCTGCCTTGGCCTTCCAAAGTACTGGGATTGCAGGTGTGAGCCACTGTACTCAGCCTGATTTATCTTTTGATGGGCTTGTACTCAAGAGAGGGTCTGAGTCTACTGTAAGTCTATTTCTCTTTAGCAAATGCAAGATGCTCTGTCCATTTTGGTACTGTAAATCTTCACTTAATGTCAGAATAGGTGTTTAGAAACTAAGACTTTAAGTGAAATAAGGTACTGCTGTGCTCAATTAACATTATTTTGTTATAACATTGATGAGAAAAGTATTGGTTTTGTTATACATCATTCTGCTTAAAGTCACAGTTTCAAGAACCTATCTATGATGTTAAGTGAGAACTTATTATGTATCATTTGCCTTTTGTAAAACTATTTATATTTCTAAACTCATAACTTAGAAAAATTAATATATTTTTGTTTAAGTTAATGATAGGCCATCTGGAGGATGTAATAGTTTTTCAGAATATGCTAGGAGTTAACCATTTTTTAGTTGCCATGAAAACTCATTTTATCAAATCATTTATTTATTTGACAAATAGGTTTGAATGCTTTCTTTTTGCCAGATACTGTGCTGAAATGTCTTTCAGAATCTTCACTGCTTATTATGTAGCATAGACACTCCTGGGGAGAGGGCTGTCATGTGAACTTGCATGTTCTATTGTTTGTTTCAGTTTTTATTTAGCAGCTTAAAAAATGTCTTCTAGTCCCAGGTCCAAAACCTTTAAAATATGATATTGTATCTCCTCCCATAGAAAGGTGGAGTCTGTCTCCCTATCCTTTGAATCCGGACTGGCCTCGTCACTTGCATTGGACAAGGTATATGGCAGAAGTGATGACGTGCCTGTTTTGAGTTTAGATCGTTGGACGTCTTGAATGCTTCCTCTTTCTTTCTCAGATCTCTGCAGCTACTCTGTGAATTGGTCTGTACGGGCCCACTGGAGTACAGATGAGCCATTTCAGCTGAGCCTACAAGAAACATCCAGCTAAACCTAGCCGAAATCGCCAACTTGCAGAATTGTAAGCTAAATAAATGACTGCAAGCCATTAAGTTCTGAGGTGGGTGTTTTTTATGCAGAAAAAAGTAACTACTACAACATTGAAGCTAAATTGATAGTTTTATTGTATATATAGGATCTACATTAAGACTTAGGTAATTGGTATCACAATCAAAATGATTATTGACATTTTGTTTTGCCATTTTTATTTTTACTTAATATGTATCTGTATCTCTAGATCTATATCTGTATCATCTATATCTATATTATCATTTTTATGTAACTATGTTTGTTTAGATCTCTTTCCATACTAAGAGGACTAGCTTGGTCTAAACTGGAAATCAGGGTCTAATGAATCGAATAAATAGCTGAACTGTGCTATCATAAGCACACATTTAAATGATTTAATTTGCATCAGAATAAAGGGAGGCTATATGGAGGGCATTTTGAAATGGACACCTTAGGAGAGAGATGAGGAAAACATTATTCTCCAGCCAATGTGTGAGCTGCATAGGCATTCTCCCTATTTCTGTGGAATATAATTTGGTTTTGGTGCATACATGATTGAAAGGAACATGCCATTTGTGATGGTTAATTTTTTTAGTGTCAACTTAACTGGATTATGAAATACCTAGATAGCAGGTAAACCATTATTTCCGGGTGTGTCTGTGAGGGTATTTTTCAAAGAGATTGGCGTGTGATTTGGTGAATTGAGTGGGAAAGATCCCCCTAATGTGAGTGAGCACCATTCAATTGTCTGGAGCCGGATAGAACACAAAGGGAGATGAAAGGTGTATTTTCTCTCTCGCTCCTGGAGCTGGGACATCCTTCTCCTGCCCTTGGGCATCAGAATGCCAGGTTCTCTAGCCTTTAGACTCTGGGACTTTTACCACTACCCACCTCCCACAACTCTAGATTCTCAGGCTTTTGACCTTGGACAAAGAGTTACACCATCAGCTTCCCTGCTTCTGAGGCCTTTGGGCTTGAACTGAGCCACACTGCAGAGTCACTGGTTCTCCAGCTTGCAGACATCTTATTGTGGGATTTCTCAGTCTCCATAATTGTGTGAGCCAATTTTCCTAATTAATCCTCTCTCATCTATTTATATATATATACATTCTGCTGGTTTTGTCTTTGTGGAGAGCCCTAATACATTTCTGTTTTTGATAACTGAAAGTTCATGCACCAGGACACCTTGCTTTAATTGAAGGCATCAGCACAGTGGCAGTAGAATGGTGTGACTCAAAAGCAAAGTTATAGGCAATGGAGGAGAGTAGAAGGAAAGAACAAGAGAGCCCAAGTGTGTCACAAAAAGTGACAAAAAATCACTGTGAGGGACTTGGCTGGGAGAAGTAAATAGAAAAATCTTTTAATATTCATATGAGCTTATGGGTTCTCATTTGCTCATGGATTTTGAAGCTTTCAAGTCACTGTAATAACCAATCATTTACTACCAATGGTTCTTTTTACTTTAAGATTTTAAAAATGTATGTTAGAAATTAAATATGACAAAAAAGACTGTTAAGGGAAAAATAATAAAAATGATTCCCCTAATGCCAAATGATAATAGAATTTTAGAAGTGAAGAAAATCTGAAGGCAAAATGTACAAACAGAAGCAAAATAGTCAGATTGCAAGGAAAGTGTACTTATCTGTCCAAATGATATAGAAAATGAATTAGCGGAGAAACAATAGTATCATATTATCCAGAAGTGCTGCATTTTTCAAAAGTTACAGTAAATATACTATGATTTAATTGTTTCTTTTCAAAAATTTTAATTCATAATTGGAGTAATGTTTATGACTACTGAGACTGAAGCATACTTTATGGAGTCAAATTCCTTCTGTTGAATTTTCCAGGCTTTAGCTACGTCAGCATATAATTCTTATATTTAGAAAAAAATTTAAACGGCATTATCCTGGGAGAAGTGTTTACTCCAATTACATCAAGTTCTAGTTTAAAAAAAATTGCAAAAGATGAAGGAAAACTGCATCATTTGAATGGAACTCTGTGATTTTGGGCTTGTACCAAATTTCCTTGATTTTATTTCTACTTCATCAGTTACTTCTTTTTGGTGCTCTTCTTCCTCTCAGCCCTAAATATAATGGTTTCCAAAGGCCGAGCCTTACCTCTTTTATCTTTTCTCTTTTTTTCTGTCTGATAAAGCTCATCTAATTTGATAGCCCAGCAATGAAGATGACTCCCAATTCTTTACCTCTACTTCTGTTCCTCATCCAAGTGCTCTCATTTCCAACTTCATTGGCACCATAGCTCTTGTTGCTCATCAGCGTCGCAATTGCCAACCATCCTAACGTGAATTGATCAACTCACCTTCACCACTCCTCTTTTTCCTTAACTTCCCCTCTTTTGATGAAATTGAATATCGATTATTAGCTACAGTTAAAAGCATAGACTTTGATTTCTCTCCTCTTTTTTTTTTACACTAAAATTGAAAGGTTGCTAAATTCTGAAACAGCATCCTCAACAACATCCTTAAAGTACAAGTCATGTGGGTTATTTTAAAAACGAGAATTATTCTCAGTGCTGCACTCTCAAGAATGATAGGCAAGTTACCATAGAATAGAAGTAACGGTACAATAAATAGTCTTATTTCCAAAGTGGTAGAGAAGAGCACACCTAATTCAGGTGACAACCGTATCGAGCTGTTTCACACTAATTGTAGAAGGCATGATGATATACTTCATGTACGATTCCTTCTTTCTCCTTTTTTTTTTTTTAAACAGAATATGAGAGAGCAATTCAGCGTTGTAGCGGGTTTCTCAAGATTCTTGGATGTTATTAGCTACATAGTGGGACCTTGTTACCACCCTTCCACATAATAGAAGGAATGACAAATACTATCACAGTATGATTATATATGTCTGTGATTTCACAACCATAATCACAGGTGTTGTAGTCAGCAATGACAGTAGACAGTAAAAATAACATACATATATATAATATATATGTACCCACACTCATAAACATACACATATACATATGTGCACAAACATACACATCTTTCAATACATATTCAGCATTACTTCGCACAATAATTTATCACAACCTACTTAAATTTGGCTTTCTTCTCTCATAAGACCTAATCCTTTTTGTCATATAACTGTCATTATTAATGATTATTTTGCTTTTGAGATGATGAGACATTACCGCAAATAAAGAAACTTCTTAACAAATTACTCTTTAAGAGTAAATAGGAAATTATATGCACTGACTTCAAAAAACCCTTGCATTTCCTACCTGGTGTTTACTGTCAAAAAGCACAATGGGCATTCAAACAGGTTCTTGTAAGAAAAAAAATTCCGTTTGTTTTGTCATACTTTTTCCATTAATTTAAAAACCAGTGAAAGCCTGAAAACACTGGGATGCGTGAAAATAACCCCCAATTTTGAGTTTTCAAAATGCTCTTGGGAAGCACATTTGATGGATAATTGCAAATGCTTTGTGAAAGAGCTTCAGAACTGCATGAGCTTCCGGATTAAGGATGTATCATTTTAGAGCACAACAAGTCTTTTTCATGCTTTCTCACACTCTTTGTTTGACAGGCCTCATCAACCTCTGCTAGTGGTGAAAACCAATTTGCTCAGTTGAACAGCTCTATAATGCTTCTTAGTTAACTGTCTCCTAAAAATCATGAACAATAGTTAAACATTTCATGAAGTTCTAAAAATTAACATCTCCTAAAAATCTAAAAATTAGTCCACACAACAACAAAACAGCACCTTATGTAAGCATGGTTTCTGTGAAATTTGTAATACTTACACATCGCCAGGGGCATTGTGGATTGGCGTAACCCAGTTAGAAAGCATTATAATATTATATAGCATGCGCTGCCATGTAGCATATAGCATATATGGAACCATAAATGTCCATTCTCTTCAGGAGAACAATTTTTTCCTTGATTGTCAGTCCCTAGATTTGGTTTGATGACAAATCTAAATCTCTGCATATATTTCTCATATGATTTAGTACTAACTTCCCTCTTGAGACTTTGAGTTACTTGAGAGCATGAATGTGTGTGTGTGTGTGTGTGTATATATATACACATATATATACACATACATATATATACACATATATATACACACACATATGTACACACACACACACACATATATATATACACACAAAGAGAATGTATTTGTCTTTTGGATAATGGCTGCCATTATTCAGTAGTTATTTTTCACTAACCAGTGTGATATGCACTTTACATATATTATTTATTTTTTTAGTACTTCTGTTTGGTAGATATTATTACACCACCTTTAGACATGATAAAACTTGACCTCACAAAGATTAATTAATTTAGACACATTACAGCTAGCAACTGACAAAATCGTGAGATTACAGCATGTGTAACTCTGACTCCAAAGTGTAAAAGCCTCCACTACTGAACTCTTGATTTTGTGGTGGTTGTTGTTTGTTTTTTACAGGTTGACTAGTATTTGAGGTTAATTGTACACAGAACTTACTTCCACAGATGTGGATCAAAGAACATTTAAAGTTGTCACTCATAGTCTGGATCACATTTAAGAGGTTGTTTATATTCTATACAAACTTTCTGAGTGTGAAAATTCTTTCATGATTTCCCAGCCGTCTGTCCATTTCTCAAGAGCTTGTCTGTGCTTTCCTTTCCAAGACCATAGGATAGGAAAGTTTGTCATGTGTGCACAGTATGTTCCCCACTCAGGGTTCTGAACCGTGTTGCAGTGTGGGCTGCAGCTCTGTCACCCACACTCTGTATCTTATGTCCTTTGGCTGCTCGGTAGGGAGAACTTTTCTCTTGCTGATAAATCTATAGATCACAGTACAATTTCTCTTCCTTTTACTCTTGAACCACAGACATTAATAGCTCAGCAGAACCTCACTCAGAACTTCCCCATAATCAGTGCTCATGCTGTCCTTTGCTCCTTCTTGACACCACCTTTGCTTAAGGCCAGCAGCTCAGAAGGGCATCAGGTAGATGCAAAGTAACGTTACAGACTGAGCATCAGAAAGCATCCTTCCACGAAAGAAGTAAAATGAATGTTACCAAGATTTACT